CTGCTGAGCCGCCGCCCCCCCCCCCCCCCCCCCCCGGCGGTATTCCCACAATAAACACGGAGACGATATCTCCACGTTTGCAGCGAACATAGTTGCGCCATACTTTCGTTGTGATAGCTTTATGGACTTATTCCCACGACACCTCCAAAAGATGATATCTCAATCGAAACTCGCTGAAAATGTACTGCGCCAGGTCCACTCCTAGTCCATATATCCTCGTCTGTTCCCACAAGGCTGACGTAACGACTGCAACCAGTCAGTGCTCTTCGCACCTACTTCTATCGAGCTCACTCACCTCGCGCCGTCATGGCCCACGCAACTCACACCTTACTAGCAACCCCTCGCTCCGCTAACGGAAAAATAACGAACGCACAGGGCGCTCAGTCTCCATGCGCCACAACGTCACATCCCCCGCCCCCTCCCCCTCCCCCTTCACGCTCCGGACGTCGATCGACCCGGTGCCGTTTCCGACATCAATTAAAAGCCGCCCGGAAGCTTCTGACCGGCACTTAGTATGCAGGGCGCGGCGAAACCTCGGAGGATGAGCGTCATCGGACGTGATTTGACGACGACTCCCTGGCAGGACGTGCTCGCCGGCGGCGGAGGTGCCGGCGCGCACGCCGTAACGCACCGTAATCACAAACATTTAAATGCAAGGCCGATGCGGCGCGTCCGCCGCGCGGGTCTGCGCGACGGCTGCGGTGCCCCATGATCCGAGAGATGCTGGATCGGTGCGCCACGCTGCCAGCAGAGTCCTAGAGTCGGCGCCTGAGAGCACCGTCACGCAGTCGGAGTCACGGGAGTCGGAGTCACGGAGGTCGGAGCCACGGAGTCCGGAGTCACGGCAGTTGGAGTCACGGAGGTTGCAGTCACGGAGGCCGGAGTCACGGAGGTTTGAGCCACAGAAGTCGGAGTCCTGGATGCTGGAGTCACCGTAATATTTACGTTAAGCTTTTACCCGGGAACAATTTTTCGGCGTCAGGAAGGGCTGCAACAACACCATATTCCCGTTTTCTGGTAGACACATTCGTTCCGATTGGCTCGATGGAGAGAGAATGACAAGGGCCATTACTAGAGATGCAGCTTTTCTTATTTGCCCTTCTGCACCAGTACCAGCGTGCGTTGGTTATCGCCATATGTCTGGTAACGGCCAAAAGACAGCAAAATTTTGGCCCAGTGCCAACGTTTCGCGCTAACGTTCTTTGCCAGCACGACTTCATCTAGCGACCGGCGAAGCTCAGGACATTGTCGGACCAGGGCAGCATTTAAGTACAGCCGGTACTGAAGTGCGGAAATCTGGCATCTCTCGGGGTGTTCAGCGAGGCTGAACTGCCAAACGTCCTGCAGTCCGTGCCTGAGCTGCTGCCGACTTGCTCATTCCTTCATCGAATTGGGCCCAATTTGGATTACGCTTTTCCCAAACAACCCTAACGAACTCAATGATCTGGCCACCTTGCCGAGTTTTGGCTACTTGGCGCGCGAATAATAGATTGGATTTCGTTTTAAAAGCTGCGAAGCATCTTGCTCCACGCAATGTAACGTGATGAAATAGTCACTTCCGCAAAATTCACTAACCCATGTGCATAGAATTACGTCAACAAAGCCTTTCATAACGCTGAGCGAGGTCACGAGCATAGGCGTTCCTTATCGCTATTTAATAGCCCAGTCGTCGGGAAGTCCCGTGAAGCCAAATTTACGCCCGCTGTACATTGCAGAGAAAAGCGGCCACTGCCAGTGCTTAGAACTTTCCTCAGGAACCAAAGACACATTTACCTCGCCAACCGCCCACTTCGAAACCCATTACGCCGGGCTAACCGCTCTCAGGGAATGGCGCCGACACATGGACAGATCGTGACGGATCCGCCCCACGGCCAGGCCGATTGGCCGCGGCGCGCCATAACTGTCGTCTTTATGCGCAATACTATGCAAGTAACGGCTGATTGGGACTCAACAGCTGATCACCGTGCCAGCCATTTGGCTGTTCGGCTGATGATGGCGACACACAAGTCGGGCTTCTGGGCGGGGCCGCGGTTGCTGAGAAATGCATCGGAGTTTAATGTGTCATGGATGTGGTTCACCACGCCCACCCAACTCTCCACATCGGTAATGTTGTACCATCCTAGATAACCGTACCATTGTATCCTAGCTGTTTCCAAGGCGGGACCAATGTCATCACCTATCGCCTGCCCAACGCAAACATCTTCGAATATCACGGATGCTCGCGGCAAAACCCGGCCTCATCCTGCCTTGCCCAACATCTGGACAAGTTCAGGTTCCCTCAGCGTCAGAGGCCGCCGTATCGTTGACTACAGCTGGGTGTCCGGGCTCCACGGGGCGATAAGCTGGGGGGGGGGGGGGGGGGCACCACCACGGCTGCTGCCGTTCCCATACGACCGACACGCTGTTCAAACAAGGTCAACACGGCACGGCTATTATCGAAGCGCCTGCGCAGGCGGGGACTGCGACGATGCACCCGTGCCGGACCGGGCCCCACACCGCAGCGGCGCCGGCTCTACGACCGGACGGGGTGGGAGCGGAATGTCTTCACGTGCAAGGGACCTTAAGCTGCACAGGAGAGCACATACGTCTTGCACGAGTGCCCACGAGGCTTTCGGACCAGCTACAACTAAACGTTGTACCTCCGGTGAGGGCCGTTTGGGCCTGGTTCATTGCGGGTAAATTTCTCAATGAGCGGATATAACGGCTCCAGGTCACAGACAGTTCATACTGTGGACCACGGGAGGGATTACCGGATCTCCGGAAGTAAGCCATCAGACTGGACCACTCGTCCTCAGGGCGCACGACCAATCTCAACCACTCCTCCCTGGAAGACGGTATTTCCTTCACTGCTCTGCAAGAGCGAGGGAATACATACAAAGAAGGCGGGTGAATGAAACACGCCTTTTCAGCCAATCTTGCCCAGGCATTGCTTGCCACCAGTCTTACATAGAGTTAACATAAAACTTTCAGCAAGTGGGTGGCCTATGGTTTATCCTTCCCCAAACATTTCTTGCGTCTATGGTACCCTGTCCGAGACACCTTGCATGACACGAGCAGACGCGTTCCGGAAGCTCCGTAAACCTAACAGCCGGTTTCGATCCGTGATTAGCCGCACTGACACAGCTTACAAAACGTTGTACCGAATTGTGGCCAAAAATACGCCAGTTGGCTGGCTATCCAAGTGGTGAGAATCCCTTCACTCCCGACTTCGTCTAGACGAAGACTTTGCGTTTGGTAGTTTCTCTGCCGCTCTTCCTCCGCCGCCGGTGCCGCCTATATCGAAAACCGACAGCAATGGATGGTTGGATAACACGGCGACTTTGCATCCGCGGCACCTCCGCGGCGCAAGAAATTTATGAAACTCCCATATGAATTTCATAAGCCCGAAACCAGCCCATAATCAAACGTGATAAACAACGCACACGAGGGTCGCGGTCGGGACCCCACTACCCCCATCTGTTCCAGGCCACGGCCTCTGAGTGCAATGAAATGGCCTCCAAACAGGTTCGGCTGTCAAGCAGGGCCCATATCACGGTCATCATTCGGGCCGGTTCGACTTGGGCCGTTGGGCCGTTCTGTGGTGACTCTCAGGTCGCCGCCGCAGCCGAAGCCAGGGCCGTCTCCGCCTGCCGGAGGTCCCAGGGGAAGGCTGCCATCAGCCCGGCTGGCTGAGAGAGCCGTGTCATGATCTGATCATGGTTATTCTTACCGCGGTGATCTGCCGGGTTCGCGGCGGCGGGGGGGGGGGGGGGGGAGCGAGCCCAAACGCGCCGCGTTCGGTCGCAGAGCCGCCGGCGGACGCACCGCCAGGGTGCGGTTTCTTCAGCTAAGCAAGTGACCATGCACCACAACAACGCCAGGGGTAGTGGTGGCAACCGCACATTTCGCGGGCGGGAGAGCGATTTGTCGTGTACGCGACGCGCAACGGACATCAAAAGGACCGTCGTCACGTGAGCAGGTTTTCCAATCAACATAGCGGCGGACGTTCATCATGCGCGCATCGCGTGCAGCGGTAAGCGTATGCCGTAATGGACCGCTAGGGCCAAAACCAGACGGCATCTTTCAGCGTTGGCGAGCCGATAATTCCGCGACCCCTTCCGGGTCAAACAAGATCGGGTACGCAGGCCTGCGCTCACCCTGCACGGCGCTGGCGCCTGGCGTCCGTGTTTCCATGCCCGCCGAATCCGATTGGTCCTCCTGATCTGAACTTCGAGCGTGGAGATGAGTTGCAGCACTGGCCTCACGGACCTGGCCCCCAGCAATAGAGTGCGTTCTGAGAATCAAACAACGCGACGCCTGCCCACGCCCGATTCAAGGCTAAGTTGGTTCAGTAATGCGAGAGCCAGGAGCAGCCCGCTGTATCATGGCCAGCTGGCACAAAAGCATTCCAGGATTCCAATCAGCCGAAGTTATTCTAGTCTGTATAGTAGACCAAAATGACTTTTAGTCTACCGGAATAAATTCAGTCTCGCTATTGCCATCCCCCAAAGGTTCATTCGGTGTCAGTGTGAGCCTCCAATAAAATACCTGTCAAGTCGTGAAAAACGCACTATACCTGCGAGTTCCCTATCGTTGTTCATACCAACGTCTGCAGACGCTAGCTCCGCGACGCGCGCACGCCGCTTCGAGACGAGCGTGGCACGGGTGAGTTGCCCTTGACGAATAACCGTTCCACGAGCGCCCAATCAAAGTTCCATTCTGGGCAGATACAGTTCGATCGTGACTTACTCTGACGCGGTTTGGGCCCTGCTGGCCGCCAGGCGACCCGAGAGCCGACCCCGTGGTTACCTGCGTGCCAGCGAGGGGTCGCCCGGGTCAAGCACAGCTGTCACCCGAAATGGGCAGCACGGCCGGCGGCGACGGCCGGTACGACTCCCGCTGCCCTGGGAGTGCGGTTTGGGCATGTGCTGTCACAGTTCCGGTCCACCGCTCCGCCCCTCGTGCGTACGTGCGTGCGTACGTGCGTGCGTACGTGCGTGCGTGCGTGCGTGTGTGCGTGCGTGCGTGCGTGCGTGCACGCGTCGTTGCTGTTGCAGCGGAGGCACAAAGCTGGCGCAGGGCGTGCTCAAGCCTGCTTTGCAAGTAGTTTTGCTCTTGGCGATTCGGTTCACTTCGACGTTTTCTGGACGCAGAAAACCTGCTCTTTCCTTACAAGAGATGATTGATGGCGGTGGTTGGGAGGCGACCAACGGTCGCGTGAGTGGCTCCGATGGATTGGCCGGAGGTTCTTCGCGAGTGGTTCCGATGGTCTGGCCGAGGGCTCCTCGCACCCAGCGTTCTAAACAGAGCCCACATGTCAGTGGATGGGCAGCACTCCGCGCCCGCAGGCGCAGGACGGCCGTTTGTCCCTTCTGAACTGGTGTCGGCCTCTGCTACGGCATCTCGGCAGGCTTTGACGTCGGCTGCCGGGTGGTACGGGGCTGCTGCTTCTCTCAAGACTTCGACACAGCGCTTGAGAGATTGATCGTATTGCTCGCCCAAGAAAGGTGTCGGGTGCTCACATGGTCGGTCGAGCGGCCTTTGTGCTGGTGTTTTTGAACGTCCTGTCCATCTGACGGACAGCTGCCCGGCGTCTTGGGCCATTTGCCGATGAGCTCATCCACAGAGTGGCGAAACTCGGTCCACTTTGCTGTCTTGTAGCCAGCCACCCTCGTCCTCTCCTCTTCGGTTTTCTCGATCTTGTCAGGATGATTGTAACAACTAGAAGTGGTCTGGTCGATTGGCATGCTCTGCTGGTCTATGTCCCACTTGGCGTTGATTCCGTCCGACCATGAGTTTACTCACGTAGTAGCTCCGTCGTTAAAGATACGTCGCTTGGCCGTCTACCGCCAAGTCTTCCCAGCATATGTCATGGTCCCCTGGTTGATGAGACTTCCATGCATACATATGGTAGGCGTGCAAACGTCTCGTGCGTCGCAAGCGTCGCGGGCCCCGAAAGTCGCCCGCGTTCAAAGCCTGTTCTCGCGTGCCATGGACTGGCGACCGTCTCATTATTGGGGCGAGCACGTTTGCCTTTTCCTGCCTTTTTCTCGGCGGCCGGTCTTGCAGGCTACAGGTGCGCAGCATGCGTTTAGATTCAAGTACGTGTTCGAGCTAGTAAAGTCTGCCATGTTTAAGGAGCCTCGTCGGGCGGCCACATTATAATCCGCAACCAGAGGGTCGGGCTCGTCTGGGTTCAGCTTCCTCTACTGGAGGATTGCGTGACGTTTGGACGGGATTCCTTCAACCGTTTTGTTGGACGGGAGAAAAGGTGTTGCATTTTAGACCTCACAACAGCTCCAGTCCCAGCCTCCGTCACAGCGTTCACCACCAGCCCCTGTGTCACCTTGAGGAAGAGCCGAAATAGGCCTATGAAAGTCCTGGACAGCACCTGCCACATTCCTGTTCTGACCTCGCCTCTGATCCAGCTCCTGCGTCTGACCCAGGTCTGGCCTCAACTCCTGCCCCACCCTGAAAGATATGCCGACCTTGGCCCACGCCAGTCCCCCTGCTCGAGCTTCTGAGCCAGGCCGTGGCCCCGTTTCCGCCTCACCTTGAGGAGAGGCCGAGGTATGCCTGCGCCAGCTCGAAGTCCCTCGCTGTGTCCAGCTGACGCTGCACTGTGACCAGGAACAGCCGGAGCAGCTTGGTAGAGCCGCCCGGCGCCGGCGCCAGCTGCCGCAGCTCCGAGTCCAGCTGCCAAGGGCTCATGCCTTTCAGCAGGTCCATGACGGCGTCGTCTGGCGGCGGAGACGACGGCGCCGTCACTCCTCGGCCGAAGCCGATGGGACGTCTCACGGACAGTACGGGCATCCAGCGCAGCCACGTCACACAGGAGGCGTTGGGATGATTGATGTGAGGATGAGCAGTTGTCACCAGCACGGGTCAGCTGCGCAGGGCGCAGGCCGGCGGCCAAATCCCGATCGATAATGACTCACGCAGTATCGCGCGTGACGCGTGACGTGACGCGCCAATAAGCCCCTGCAACGCACACAGCTCATGCATGAAGCATAGTTGACACTGGTAGGGCTTGCGCGGGATATGGGGATCATTTATGGCGCAGATCTCACGCAAGTTTGGGAAATTTATACATGATATACAACCAGCATACCACATTACGCGGCATGCCAAATTGATCGCGACCGGCCGCGTTCACCTGGTGAAAACTGATCAACCAATAATTCCCCGCCCGATAACCATTCAGGGAGTAGTAGTAGTAGTAATTGAGGTTTCAGGGTGCTTCGACTGCGCGGTCATATAGTGCCCATGTAACCATCCACGGAGTTTTCTATTTGGGTTCAGCGGGCTATACAATTAACACCCAGTTTTGTCTGACACGCGTCATACATAGCCGCAACCTGGCCAACGGTCATCGCTGGGCATGACGAAAATAAATATCCATATTGAACACACTCTGAAAATCATTCGGGATTCTCACACGACCCGATTAATCATCTGAAATATTTCTCTCTGTTGCAAAGGCGAACGCCGCTCCGGGGAATTTTCCAACATTCCGGGTCATTCTCCGAGAGAATCCGCAGGCCAAACACGCCCACAGTCGACCAATGGGACCGCTCCTCCTGCGATTTACACACAGGCATGGCACAACACGCCGTTTAGCTGTCACAACATATTCGAGCATCGCAAGAAGTCGGCTGCCGCGTCGACGGCGGCGCTCCAGTGTGTCACAGCTAAGCCCGCCATCCCCCGGCGCTCTAGTGTGTCACAGCTCAGCCCGCCATCCCCGACGGCGCTCTGGTGTGTCACAGCTCAGCACGCCATCCCCGACGGCGCTCTGGCGTGTCACAGCTCAGCCCGCCACCCCCAGCGGCGCTCTAGTGTGTCACAGCTCAGCCCGCCACCCCCAGCGGCGCTCTAGTGTGTCACAGCTCAGCCCGCAGCTCAGCCCGCCATCCCGGCAGCGCTCTGGTATGTCACAGCTCAGCCCGCCATCCCCGACGACGCTATAGTGTGTCACAGCTCAGCCCGCAGCCCAGCCCGCCATCCCCGGCGGCGCTATAGTGTGTCACAGCTCAGCCCGCAGCCCAGCCCGCCATCCCCGCGGCGCTATAGTGTGTCACAGCTCAGCCCACCATCCCCGGCGGCACTCTGGCGTGTCGCAGCTCAGCCCACCCATCCCCGGCGGCGTTCTAGTGTGTCACAGCTCAGCCCGCAGCCCAGCCCGCCCATCCCCGGCGGCGCTCTAGTGTGTCACAGCTCAGCCCGCTATCCCCAGCGGCGCTTTAGTGTGTCACAGCTCAGCACGCCATCCCCGACGGCGCTCTGGCGTGTGTCACAGCTCAGCCCGCCACCCCCAGCGGCGCTCTAGTGTGAACACAGCTCAGCCCGCCATCCCGACGACGCTATAGTGTGTCAACAGCTCAGCCGCAGCGCCAGCCCGCCTCCCCGGCGGCGCTCTGGTGTGTCACAGCTCAGCCCACCATCCCCGGCGGCACTCTGGCGTGTCCGCGGCTCAGCCCACCCATCCCCGGCGGCGTTCTAGTGTGTCACAGCTCAGCCCACCATCTCCGGCGGCGCTCTGGCGTGTCACAGCTCAGCCCGCCATCCCCGGCGGCATGGCTAACCGGATCTCCCGCTATCCATCAGCGACCGGGAGCCGGCGGGCGCCAGCTGCGGTGCCGGCGGCAGCCGCCGCGATCGTCCCCCGACACCACACGCCAGCGACGCTGCGGCGCCGGAGCGAGGACGCACCGGCCGCGGAGCCGGCGCCTGGAACGGCTGCCGTCCGCTCACAGCTGTCGGGCCGGCTGCGACGTGTCGAATGTGCTGGGCGAACGGTTGTCGCACGGCGCCATAGCTCAGGCGGGCGCTGACAACAGCGACGACGTCGTGAATGGAGCTTCCAACTTCGAGCAGGCGAAGCCGAACGGTGGCAAATTCCGTGGGAATGCGAAGCAAGTATGACGCCTGCTCCCCTTGCTGCAAGTGTAAACGTTGCTTGTGTTCCAACTGGTTCCAACAGCAGTCCTTTTATGGCACAGGTGGGGATTTCCCAGGCTGGTGCCGCTACCACACGATCAGAGCGGCTGTCACGGCTGTGCAGTGAGTCCTGCTAAGGAAGAGGGCATACGGCAGTCCCCATTCTCCCACGTTAATCGATCCTGCAGGCCAACTTAATAATGTCCTTCCTTAGGATTCATCCATGCGCATTCCAGAGCTCTCAGATGTCGTCTCGGCGACCATTTAGACAAATAGACGGCTGGTTGAAACCGAGCAGTTCTAGTATATTATGCTCCCTTGGCTGTTGTGGAGAACCTTGATCGCATCAGCCAGTTGACCTCACGAAGGCCGACACCGTACGTAGACCTTGTGGGAGCCTTCGGACCACGTGGCACCGCGTACCCTGCGTAAGGTCTGCACCGCGCATGTGTCCTTCCCATGCGTCCTTGCTCCGCCCGGGGTCAAACGGCGGAGTGATCACCCGGTAAAGTATCAACGGCGGGTCTGGGATGCGCGGTCACATCTCGGTGCAAAACACAATAACCCCATCAGCCCTCCACTCGGCATTATCACTGGCCACCCGCAGTCCAGCTTTTACGCGCGCGGCATGGGGGCAGTACCGACGCCACAAACCGGACTCCATCTCGAAAACCACGTGGCGGTGTCTGCTGGGTTCGCACCACGCCCAACAGCACGCCCTGGCCGTCGCCGTGGCTGGGCGGACGGGAAGGGTCCGCGGGTCGGCGGTCCATGTCGCGTCCCGTGTTCCGACACTGTCCCGTGTTCCGACACTGTTCCGTGTTCCCACATTGTCCCGTGTTCCGACACTGTCCCGTGTTCCAACAATGTCCAGTGTTCCGACACTGTCCCGTGTTCCGACACGGAGAGCCACGCTGCTCCGCATCGCGAGCAGACCGCCACAACGGCACAGCCAGGGCACAGCCGACAGACGCTCCAACGGGACGGGTGAGACGCTCCAACTGGCGCTCAGGACCTGGTCTGGGCGCACAGCAGGACCCGCCAAGGAGACCCCGCGCGGGTGCCGCGCGATCAGTGACCACGCACGACACTGTCAGCAGCGCACCCCAGCTGGGCAGCCGGGTCGGGACACCGTACTGCTCCTGGACGGACGGGCCAGACTCCATGTCGCCGGGCAGCCCGGCTCCAGTCGCGAAACAGCATCCCACGGGGCGGCTCCGAGTTGCGGATCGTCCCCAGGTGTCGAGCGAGGACCGTATACCGTCCTCGCACAGTCCCGGGGACAGACGGGTCGCCAGCCGGCCCGTTCGCTCGCTCGCTGACAACGGCCGGGGCGCCGGCACTAAGTGATTGCCGGGGACAGCGCCTGATTATAGCCGGCTTATGGCGGGCCGACCGCGGCGCCGACGAGTTACAGGCTCGCTCGGCCGAGGCGAGGCGAGCCCCGCCGCCGAGTCGTTACCGTCGCGTCGGACAGCGGCTCGCCGGCGGGGCGGGGCGAGCCGCGTCTGCCCATCTGCGCCCGGCGGCCGACGAGATGTCTCGCTCGCGCCGACACAGCCTCGATTAACAGCACCCGGCGGGTCCATTACGGTATGCACTGGAGGATATCTCGCAAGTGGGGGACCGAGCCCATCTAGACATCACGGCCTCGTAAACAAAGAGGCTGAACTTCACGAAAACAAGCGAGCTCGCACGAGGCTGGTGCAACAGGCAGCCGCCGACGAAAGTAACTGACAATCGCCACCCTGTTTTTCGTTCTGTCCGTGACTGCTTGAATATTTCATCAATATTCAAAATTCGGATCGCGTGCTCCCCAGTCAAAGCTCACCGACATCTACTTCTGAACTGGGCTACATTTCGGAGCTGGATGTCAGAGACAGCACGAGGCAGTTTGTCACCCTCTCATATCAGGATTCACCGCAGCACAGCCTGAGAACCCGTCGCCGTCAGGGGTTAAATTCCACATCAGGGACGTCGTGCCGAGACGGCGCCCCGCAGATCCGGCACACAACAAATCTGAGGCACGGCCGCGCCCGATCGATACAGCGTACAAAGCCCGACCTGGCCTTGACTTGCCCGTTCCACGACTGCACGCTCGTTAGCCAGACATCCAGCAGCCGCTTTATTTCGGTTTCCTGGCAATGACGGCGCTAGATAGTGCTGTGCTAACGACCACGGCGTATACACACGTTACCGCGCCGCCCGGGGAACACGTCCGCCGAGATCCTGTCGGATCGAGCGTAAACGAGGGGGCGTTTACGTTCTCCGGTCACCGACGGACGGCGCTTCCACGCCACCGCCCCGCACAGAGCGGTCGATTGCGCGGTTTACCGCGCGGGGGTCCCCAGGTTCCAGGCAACACTGCTTCGATGAGACCCGGCCGGAAGCCGTCAAACTGCGAGCCACGCACCCGCAGAGGCCGTGCGGGGCGCGATGAGACCCCACCAATCAACGTACCCGAACAACCCCATAAATAACAACAACTAGGTCACGGTAAGTCATTCACCGAAGCACGTGGCCAGGCAGTGAGCCGGCGCCGGCCCTCCGGAGGTACGCGGCCGGGTAGTAAGCCAGCGCCGGCCCCCGAGCGGCGCTGCCGGGCGGGCGGACGGCTGTCGCCGCCGAGCGGACATCCGTCCAGGGTCAGGGCGGTCACGCCAGCACGCCGCACGCAACTCTCGGGGCGCCGTTAATTAGACGTGCACACAAACAGACCTACACACAGACAGACAGACAGACATACACACACAGTGAGACAGATAGGCACAAACAGAAGACCGGGGCATCAGTGGCGCAG